CCATCAAGCCAGAGAATGCTGCCTACTGAGGACAGTTGTCATGTTTCCCCTTGTCTTTACTGCTTTGGTATCTTTCCACCTTATCTTGTGTTTTTATGTTCCAACATAACAATAGGTTTGAGGAAGATAAATGCAGTTTGGTTTGTTAAGAGATTTCAGCAAGGGAACCTATACTTCCTAACACTTTTCATACACACTTTTTGTATGTCATCTCAGTATCATCTATTCTGTATGTTTTAATATACTTTGAAAAGATAATGTTGTTCTTACTTAGACCTTTAGACTACTACCTTAAAATCTAGTATTTTCCTGGTTAGTTGGTAGAGATTGCTGTTAGATGTCGTTTCACTTGAGAAGACTTGGTGGGTCACATCAGCAAATAGCATATTGCTTTTTATAAATTGTAGCAGCCTCCTTCCTTAATTGGAACACATATTAAGCAACAGTAGCATGTTGATTGAGAAAGGGGATTTCATTGAAAGGATATCTGGTATATCCAAGAATTGGATCCAAAAAAATCTCTAAAATGTTCAGGACTCTGCAAATAGCAACATTTGCCAGAATCCTACTGTGGAACATGAGTTCCTTACATTCCTGAAGATAGGAGCTAGTATATTTCCACTAGTTCTGACTCCAGATCTGGGAAAACTGCCTGGGTCTGGTAGGTTCTAGGTTTTCCTGCATCTGAGCTGTGTGGAAGGTTGGGAAACCAGGCACACTTGTGCCTGATGGTCTCCAGAAAGTCTGCAGTGGCATGTTCACACCATTGTCTGTCTTAGTCTTTTAGCCTGTGCTAACAAAAATATAGACTGAGTGACTTAAGTAATACTGTTAGGGTACCAGGAGATGTGAGGTCTGATGAAGGTGCACTTGGTCCATCAGTGGCCTTCTTGCTGTGTATAAACTGTTATGAATGAGAGAAGTTTTAGGTTTCTTTTCTAAAAGGACTAATCGTGTTTATATGAATTCTACCCTTAATAGCCTAAAATGACCTCTCCAGAACCCCCACCTTCTATAATAGTACCATCATATCAGTGGTTTATGATTTCACCATGTCAATCTGGAGGGCAGTCAATCTGGAGAGTTTTGTAAGATTACATGCTCAGAAAACTTTTTTATAAGATCATATGCTCACAAAACGCCACACATTTTGCCAGAACCTGTACAAAGGGAAGACCCACACATTTACTTGACTACAATGGAGCAGGAGAGAGAATGAGAGTGGTTGGTTGGGACAATAACCAAATAAATTTATTTTTAATATACATCTTACTAAGCATTTTTGTGTAATTAAAGTAGGAAGAGAATCTTTGAAAGTTGTATATGCATTGTTGCTAGAGGCCTGTAATATTTCTTGGAGAACATTTTCCAAGAGTTTGGTAGTGAATCCCACCTGAGTTTTTTGTGTTAAGATCATTGTTCATGGAAGACCATGAACAATGGTCTTCTTTGACCATAGCACATCTCAAAATTCTGTAAATAATGCTACATTTTCTTTCTGACTTTGTTTTGCTTTTTTTTTTTAAGTTTTATTCATTTATGCATACAGAACTGGGGTACAGGACAGAGGTACAGGGATGGTGAGAGGATTCACCAGAACCAGAGTGGGGAGCAGAACAGACAGATTGAAGAAATACATGGCTGAGGGGAGCAGTGGACAAGAAAGGAGAGGTCTGCAGCACCATGTTGGTCACCTCCCTGGCTGGTGATGGAACTTCAGTGGAAGTGGCTGTGGCTAGCTTATTCGTGCTGTGCTTTAACCTGTTGTTCCACCAGGGAGGGCCCTGTCTGTCTTTATCTTTGTAATTCAGACATTTTAAAAATCTACTAATGCTTCTCTTCCAGTTCATAATATTGTCCACATGTAGAAATTTATTTTACTCGTGATTATTTATTACTTCTGTAGTAATTTTTGCCTAATTAGATTCTAAAAAGTGAAATGTGTTCATGTTAATTAAAAAGTTTCTCACCTTCAAAAAAAAAAGTTTCTCACCTTCAGCCTTTTCCTTTGAGTTCTGAAAAAAGTTTATGAAATGTTTTATGCCATATATTTTATTTCATGTGAAGCATAC